GCCTCCCAGAGTGCTAGGATTACAGGCGTGAGCCACCGCGCCCGGCCTCAGCGTATAAATTTTTTTATGCATGTTGTTAGTTGAGGTGGCCTTGCTGGTAAAAGTGAGTTCATTCATTCATTGAACAAATACTGCTTACTCCAAGCCAGACACTGAATAAAAGGATTATTTTATAAAATCCAATGTATCCCATAAGGAATTTTAATTCAAATGAGTGAATCAGTGTATGCCTGAATTTAATTACAAAGGAGTCTGTGAGTTACTGACGGTATGCCTGACTTCTGGACAGAACTGTAGAAATGAAAGGAGAGACTAAAGCTGCCCAAAGACCAAGCTGAGTAACCCATCAGGAGTAATCAGAAAGCCAGTGGACACTGATGAGTGCTCACTCTTTCCCAAGATTATGCAAAAGATTGTTTTTGTTTTTGTCTTTTCTTGTGTTTTATTCCCAAATAAATTCGTTCTGTATAACCATTCTCATTCGCTTCATGCTTTCTTTGGAGAGTTTTTCATTCCGTTACTCTTCTATTTCAGTCACTTTTTCTATATTTACCAAATACTAAACCTGACAGCTTCCTAATTTGGGAGAAAGGCTTCAGGGTCCCTCACTTGAACAAAAAGGATTCAATAAAAGCTTTCATTTCCTTTTTTACTTTTGTCAGTGTTATAATTTTCCTGAAGATAATTTAAGAAAAAGAGAAACAGGATGTCTAAGTCCTAAACTAGTTCATAGTCCAGAAGAAGAAGAATTAAACAACAGTCAACCCCTGACCTGTGCTACAACCTAAATGAATACTGAGGTCACCATGCTAAGTGAAATAAGCCAGTCACAAGAAGGCAAATGCTGTGTGATTCCACTCATGTGAAGTACATAGAATAGTCTCCTTTCATAGAGATGGTGTAGAGTAGAGTGGTGGTTGCCAGAGGCTGAGGGGAGGAGAGAATGAGGAGTTATTGTTTATTAAGTATGGAGTTTCAGTTTTGCAAGACAAAAAAGAGATTGATTGCACAACAATGTGAATACACTTGACACTATTGAACTATACACTTAAAAATGATTAAGATGGTAAGTTTGATGTTATGAGTATTTTACCACAATTTTATAAACACACTGACTCCTGGGTCTGGGGGGGGGTTGGAGGGAGTCAAGCCCTAACATTCTAAGGGCCCTGTGGAACCCGCAGTTGTACAAGGTGCTCCGGGAAAATCCCAGCGTCTCCTTCAGCGCCAAGTTCAGCGTCCCAGAGGCCCCCTGGGAGGATGCACGGGCACGCCCCTGCACAGGCTGTCAGGTTTCCAGCCTCAGCCCATTTACTCAGGGCTCTTACACGACAGTGGCACCTTAGCATGGGCTTGAGGAAAGGAACAATGCCTGTCTTCTTGTCCCTGATTTGTGGGCGTGTGTCAGGGTTGAGGGGAATGCACAGCGCCACCTGCTGGGGGCTCTTTGCCCTCGCTCCCACCGCCTCCTGCCGTCTGTCCACCTCTCGGTGTGCCCTGGCTGTCTCATTGAGAGACAGTTGCCTTTCCCAGCTGTTTCTTCGCTGCAGCCTTGGCAGCTGGCTCTCTCCTACCTGCGGTCTTCAGGTAGAAGACGCTGTAGCAGCTGGCTCTTCCTAATCTTTCTCAGATATTTATTTTTCCAGATTACTTTTTTTAAGTTGGTTATTTAGTCAAGTTTCCCCTGGAGGATGGGAGGGAACCTTTGATAATTGTGTGTGAGATTGCATTAAGTTTATAGATAAATTTGGGGAGAATTGGCATTCTACTCTTATTTTTTCCTGATTGTTATCAATTCTAAAAATTTAAGTGATTCTCTCATCTATAAGCAACAAGGATTTCTTCCTTTCTAATGTTTATATCTCTTGTTTTATTTCCTTATCTAATATATTAGCTATTGTATACAAAATTGTGAGTGCTATTCACTTTGTCTTATTCTTCATTTTAATAACATCTTCAGGGATGATTTTTAAAAAATATTTAAAAACTGGACAAGGGCCCTGACCAATGAGAATGGAGGCAGCAATCATAACAGATAGCAGCTGTAGCTGGTTGTTATCATTAAATCAATGTGCAGTTATGGACACATAGCCCCGAGTGTTTTATCATTAAGCATGATGTTGTTTGCTGATTTGCAATAAATTTAAAATAATATTAATCCATATTTTACCAAGAATTTTTTCTCCAGATAGAATCAAAGGTCTTTGTAACTTGGTTTCAGCCTATCTTTCCAGCCTGGTAATTCTCAACATGGTTCAACATGGACCTGCCCACTCACAAAGCCTTCTGCAACTCTCTAGCATTAAAAGGTCCAGTCATACAAAACAAGAGCTTAAGGATCTGATCCCTGCGGCTCCCACACCTTTGTTACGGGCTGCTCTCTGTCTTGGAAACCCTTTCCACCAGGAACCTGGAAACACACCCAGCTTTCGGGTCTCAGCCTTTCCGAAGTATTCGTTGACTATCTCCTGCTTTCTGTACACCTGCAATCAAGAAAGAGTTGATTCCTTTCTCCTCCATGTACCCCCAGGGTATCCTGGACACACTTCTATGGTGTTTTTCACACTATTTTTGTATTTTGTTGTTTCCATTTTTTCTCCATTTGTGGACTGTGAGCTCCTCTATCCTTAACAGTGAGCACAGGGTTTGATGCTTATTTAGCACTCAACTAACATTTGTCGGATAAATGAATGAATGCAAAAATGAGTGAATCTCACACTGAGCATGAAGACCTATCATGTAAAATGGATATAACATTTTTAAAAATGTTAAACAGATGCATTTTCCTTTGCTTTAACTTACGATGCCATAGTAAATAAAAGAGCAAGTATCACTGTTCTGATTATCTATTGCTGTGTAACCTCTCCAAGCTAAGGAGTATAAAATCAGTGATCATTTATTCTCTCTCTCAGTTCTAGGGGTTGGCAGGGCTCAGTTAGGAGGTTTTCACTTGGGTCACTCATATGAAGGTAGACAATGGCTGGGGTTGCAGTCGTCTGAAGGTAGCCTCACTCACATGTACAGTGGCAGCTGATGCTAGCTGTCGCTAGGACCTCAGCTGGGACCATGAGCCAGAACTGCATGTGACCTTGTCATGTACCCTGCGCTTCTTTACAGCATGTGGGCTGGAATTTAAGAACAAGTATACTAAGAAAGAACCAGAGGAAACTATCACCTTTTATGATCTGGCCTCAGAAACAGTGGTTTGCTGGTAAATGTTTATCAACCAGCTGTGTGTGTGTGTGTGTGTGTGTGTGTGTGTGTGTGTGAGATTTGTAGCATTTGCCATATATTTGTAGCATTTATATCTCATCATATAAATAATCCCTCTATGCCTATTTCAGGCTGTGAGCATGGAATTGGGAGCAGAGAAACTCTCTGGTTGGCTGGTTGAAAGGGCTCCAGCACCCTGCTGCTCAGCACACCACCACTTTTCCTGTGCTCTGTTGGTTGAAGCAACCAAAGGTCCACCTAGGTTCAAGGGGAACAGATGACTTTGCCTCTTGATGGGGCATTGGTGAAGTCATGGTGTAAAAAGAGCATATGGATGGGGGATATTAAGGCCATCTTTGGAAACTCCTATCTGCCACAACCACCAAGAACAAAGATCCAAAGGAATTCGCACAGGCAAATGTGATGTAGACAAAGACCCCAGAAATAAGCAAGATGAGGAAAAGTCCTTCCTCCACTGGAAGAAGAAACTGGGGAAGGCAAGAATGAAAACTTTTCTAGGATAAAAAGTATAATGTGAAGTAATAAACAAATAGAAATCACATATATAGAGAGAGAGAAAATCTGCAAGTAGAGATCTTTTCCCCTGCTTCTTATTTGAAACTCTATTCATTCAGTCAGTCAATAATTATGTGAACTCTGTGCCAGACACTCTTCTTAATGCTGTGAATGAAACAAAACAGAAATCCCTGCTGTACTAGTCTGCTATGGCTGCCCTAACAAAGTATTACAGACGGGGTCATTTAAATAACAGTAATTTATTTTCTCACAGTTCTGGAGGCTGGAAGTCCAAGATCAAGGTGTCAACAGGATGAGTTTCTTATGAGGCCTCTGTCTGTGTCTTGCAGATGGCCACCTTCTCCCTGTGTCTTCACATGGTCTTGCCTCTTTGTCTGTGTCCTAATTTCCTCTTCTTATAAAGACACTCATTATATTGGACTAAGGCCCACCCTATTGACTTCATTTTAACTCCATTACTTCTTTTTTTCTTTTTTTTCTTTTTTCTCCTTCCTTCCTTCCTTCTTTCTTTCTTTTCCTTTCTTCCTTCCTTTCTTCCTTTCTCACCCCAGGTAGAGTGCAGTGGCATCATCAGAGCTCACTGCAGCCTCAGACTCCTGGGCTCAAGTGATCCTCCTGCCTCGGCCTCCCAGAGCACTAGGATTACAGGCATGAGCCATTGCACCCAGCCTGCATTACCTCTTTAAAGGTTCTATCTCAAATGTGGTCACATTCTGAGGTCCTGGGGTACTGGGGTTAGGACTTCGGCATATGAATTTGTGGGGAGGACAAACTCAGCCCATAACACCTGCCAAATAATTGCCAAAAACTTTCAAATTTGATCAAAAACTGCATCAAATCTGCATATCCAAGAAGCTCAACAAACTCCAAGTAGGATAAACTCAAAGAGATCCACACCATGACACATCACAAGCAAACTGTCAAAAGCCAAAGACAAAAAATCTTAGAAGCAGCAAGGGAAGTAACTCACCATGTACAAATCCCAAACCACAAGTGATTTCCCAGCAGACCACTCCTGGAGACAATCCAGACAGAACCTGAGGTCACAATCATTGGTGAGTCATCAGCTGCACCATCCCATTGGTGAAGTCAAAGATGGAAGATGGCGAAGTCTTTCAAACCTTTCAGGTGCTCTCTCCTTTCCTTCAAGTCTCTCGTTCGGGGCCCCATCCTGGCCCTCTCCATCCCATGGGGCAGGACGGAGAGGTCCACAGGGGTCACTGCAGGCAGTGCTGGGGCGAGCCTGCACCCGCATCACTAGGGATCTGACATGACAATGACGCCCTGCCCTCTGAGGGCTACAGGACTTGCCCAGTTGGGAAACAGCTAAACAGTAGGTAACTGTTGGCTTTAGATTGTCTAGTATTTGTTCTAATCATAAGGTAATATATAACATTTCCCTTAAAAATAAGTTCCTAGTCTTAAAGTACAATTAGGAAGACCAGGCATGTTTCTTTAATTCATGTTTCATATCTACATAGATGTACATCTGGTTTTATATTGTACTTTATATCCAAATATACATCCACATATTTGATGTGGTACTTATCTTATCTCTTTCTCAAAGATAGTTTATTGGTAACTTGAGAAAAACTTGGAGATGAATTTTTTCCAACATTCTAACCCAGGAGACTGTCGTTCATTCAGCCGATATTTCCTGAACATCTATCTTGTGCCAGACATTGTGCTGGATGCTGGACATGGAGATGGGAGATGAGGTGTTCCTAGCAGGACAAGAGGGGCCTACACTCAGTCTGAGCTTGGCAAGGGGGCATCAGGAGAGGCTTCCCGAAGGAGATGACTCCTTATCTGAGTCTTAAAGAATTATCTAGGTGAACTGAAGTGAGGTTAGGCAGGCTATTTAGGGAGACAGAGCAGCACGGCACGGAAATGGGGGAGAACTTAGCATATTTGAGGGATCCTAGACAAAGAACCATAATAGGACATAATAGCAAATCAAAGTTCCAAACTTCAATTAAATTCAGCTCAATTCAACCAACATTTTTGTCAATTCCCTCCTATATGCACAGCTTTATATTAGATGCTGGGTTACAGAGATGTCAGGATGACATATTCATACATTATTTCAATCAAGCATGACAAGTATTAGTAACAATAGGAGTACATCAACACAGGGATGTCAGGGAGGTGGTGAGGAACCTTAGGTGGAGGGTCCAAGGAGCTTTCAGACGGCCAAGGATGAATAGGAATTCAAGCCCACAGCAGAAGGAAAAGGTAATTTCAGAACAGGACATGGCATAAACTTTGGCGTAGAGGCAGGAGACTGCAGGCAGGGTCCTGAGAACTGAATATAGCTCATTGTCACTGAATCTCAGAGTTGAGTGGAGACTGGGTAGGACAGCGGGACTCAGGTTGTACAGGGCCTTACTAGGGTGTTTGGTTTTGATATTTGGGCTACGGGGTCTTTGAAAGTGTGTAAGCAGATGTGAGATGATGGGACAGTGTTTTGGAATGCCCCTAGGGCTACAGCGCAGGGGCAGATGGGAGGGTGATGTGGCTTTAAGAAATGTTAACTATTAGAGCTTGACGGTTGATGAAAAGTCTGGTGAGGGAGAGGAAGAGGTCAAGGATGAGCCCTAGGTTTCCGGCTTGTGGGACTGGGTGGTCGTCCACAGTATGCTTGCGCGTGTGTGCACACCCACCCACACATGCTAGTTGTGTGCCTTTCCTTCTCCCCAACTCCCTGCTCCCAAACTAGAAATGGAAAGACACAGGGAAAGGCCCTACCATCTCCTGGAAAGGTCTCATGTTGCTCCACAGCGTGGTGTATAGTGAGGTCCACTGAGTGAGGCTGGACACTGGCAGCTTCCTCCAGAAAGCACAAAATGGAAACCAAGGCCCTTGCCGTGCGCATGCGCCCTGTATCTGGCTGCACTGAGGTCTTCCCTGCACCCTAACCACCAGCCCCTGCCCTGTCCTTTTTCTCATCCCTCCACCCACGTCTGTAGTTACCGGAATTTTTGTGGCTTGTTCTGACATCTGATACCTCAGATACATGACAGACAACATTTGGAGATCTTTCTCCCTCCCCGCCCCCCTTCTCTCTCTTTCTCTCTCTCTCCTCGCCCCAGCTTTTATTTCACTGTGTAATATACTGTATTAACTGAGGTGCATAAAATATCCATGTACAGTTTAACACATTTTTATAATGACACACATGAAACCACCACCCACGCAAAGAAACAACACTGCCAGCCCTGCAGAAGCCCCTCACAAGTACTCACTTAATCACAACCCTTAGTCTCAACCCACCACCCCCACACAAGTAACTGCTGTCCTGACTCTGGGATGCACTTCCTTGCATTTCTTTCTTGTGTTATCACCTAAGTATGTTCCTCTAAACAATGGAATTTAGTCTTGTTTCTTTTGGAACTCTATTCTTTGAAATTCCTTGATCCTGCTTCTTTCTGCATTGCATTTATAAGATTTATCCACACCATTCATCCACACTACCATTGTAGGTAGGTAGCTGTGCTGTCCATCATGGGGAAATACCACCATTTTTTATTCCATTCTATTGTGACCATCACTGGATTGTTTCCAATATTGAGCTCTTACGAACAAAGGTCCTCAAACATGCTTGTTTGTGTATCCTGGTCACAGTTCAGGGTTGCATCTGGGACTGGAGCTGCTGAGTAAATGTGGCGTCTTCATAACTGTTAGCTATTGCTCAATACTGTGTGAGAGTCTTCTTGTCCCACATCCTCGCCAACATTTGCCATTGCGTCTCACCTTTTTGTTTTAAACCTCTGTTCCCAAAACAGACTCCTCTACTAAAATAGACTCCGCTAGGTCAGTGGGCCTCACTCTCTGTGTCCCAGGAGGCTTGGAGCAGAGGGCAGTGACGTGTGAGGCCCCTGCTGTAAGCTTCTGTCCCCCACCCCCACCCCAGGAGGATGTGAGCACTTCTCAAGTGAGAAGGCCAAAACCTTAAGTTAGTTCTGAGTGATTTAACAAAAGTCAATTCTTTCCAGGCTGTGGTACTTTTAGTGACACACCTTTTACCATGTCACACTTGTGTGCTCTGATGCTCTGGTTTAGAACCACTGTCCTTGTTGGCCAAGGATCGGTCCAGCCTCCAGTGTGAATGTACTGACAGCCTCTTGAGCGCAAGGCCACGACAACCCAGCATGTTTGTCTACCAAAGCTTGTCCCTCACAAGCGCCACCACAAGGACAGAGAGAGCAGGGGTCAAATTTTCCCAAATCAAACAGTAGCTATCCCCTGGCATGTGATACTCATGGACGTGTTCTCTCTGCTGCCCCCACAGGGTTTTTAACCAGCTCACCTGGACTTGGCGAGCGGCCCTGTCCTCCATCACGGCCACCCCGCCATTCTGGCTGGCGAGGAAGATGTTCCCCTTCAACGTGGGCAAATGGATGGGGCTCGCCTGCGTCCGATCCCTGGTGTCGTCCCCTGCCAGTATTCGCCAGAAGAAACTCATCCACAAGCTGCAGGAGGAAAAGGCTTTTCGGGAAGAGATGAGAATTTTCCGTGAGAAAATAGAAGACTTCAGGGAAGAGACGTGGAATTTCCGAGGCAAGATCAGTGCTTTCCGGGGCCAGATCTTCGATTTTTGGGAAGAGGAGAGACCTTTCTGGGAAGAGGAGAAAACCTTCTGGAAAGAGGAGAAAACCTTCTGGGAAATGGAAAAATCTTTCCGGGAAGAAGAGAAAACGTTTTGGAAAAAATACCGTACCTTCTGGAAGGAGGATAAAGCCTTCTGGAAAGAGGACAACGCCTTATGGGAAAGAGACCGGAACCTTCTTCAGGAGGACAAGGCACTGTGGGAGGAAGAAAAGGCCCTGTGGGTAGAGGAAAGAGCCCTCCTTGAGGAGGAGAAGGCCCTGTGGGAGGATAAAAAGTCCCTCTGGGAGGAAGAGAATGCCCTCTGGGAGGAAGAGAAGGCGTTCTGGGTAGAAGGTGGCCGCCACCTTGCTGGGGAGCCGATGCCAGAGGACGGGCCCCGCCGCGCCCTGGGAGGACAGCGATCGCCAACCTTCTCCCGAGGCAGGGCATAGTGCGCGCAGGACATGCAGGGCCACGTGGGGTCCAGACTCTGCTGGATTGAGATTCGAGTCCAGGGCGATCCCAGGTGCTGGAGGAAAAATGCACTTATTTGTCTCCTTGCTTTGAAAGACCTAATAAAATCCTGAGGAGAGGTTTGGAAAACCAGCTTCTTCAAGGAAGGCTGGCTGTGGTTTTTACCAGGTTTTGTGTTTCTCCAAGGTCATATTCCCACTTCCAGGCTGTATCGTGGGCCGTAGAGTCCCGTCCCAGGCAGTTCACAATGACCATGGTCTGTGCAGGTGTTTAGGGGCAGAGACACTGTGGCTTTCTCTGAAAGAGTAAGACTGGAACAGGACTGCTCAGGCGGCGCAGCCAGAGGACACAGGGATGGAGAGGGGCTGAGACCGTTCTGCCTCGGCTACAATGGGGGGCAATCTCTTCCCTTTCACTCTGCACAGTCTTGGGGGCCTGGCGTGGGCTGGCAGATTTCCAGAAAAGGCCACAGTGCTGGCAACAATTCATGTGTGCCTCTTCCTCACCCAGAAGATCACTTGGAACTCACAGGCAGAATCCCCTAACAATTCACTCATGGGTAGTTTGAATTCCACCACCCTTCTCAACTGCACGCTCTCTGGTCACATGAGAAAGGGGACTTAGCATTGGTCTGAGGTTCAAGAGTGCAGCCCACAAAAGCACGGACCTTCCCTGACAATGGGGTTAAGTGACCCATGGGATGATCTGAGAGTTATAAGGGAGTCCTACTGCTCCTGCCCCAAAATGTTCCCACTCAAAGAGGTCCCACTGTCTGTGTTTCTGCATTATCAATTCCTTCCTTTGGGTTTCCTGCCTTCATTCATTTTAAAATTACAATGCCCCCGGGAGGTAATATATTAAATGAATGTACACTAATGTGGTCAAGCAACTTAGGCGCCCAACTTTTCTTCTAGGATGGAGTGATGAGATGGTCTACATGGGGATTGAACCAGAACTGGGGGAGTAAGAAATGCCAAGGCAAACATGTCCTGCAGTCCCTTTTCTTAGGCCTGGTCCTCGTTGTTATTAACACATCAGCTTCCCTTGCCTTTGTGGGTCCCCTTCTACCTCTATAAGCACTTTCACATTTGTCAACTCATGTGACCTTCACCACAACTCTGTGGGCTGACAGGGAAGGTGCACAAACCCTTTGTACAGATGAGGAAACAGAGACCCAGAGAAGTGAAGCAATTGCATGTGGCCAGGCAAGTAGCAAACGGGAGGGTCGGGACTAGAACCCACGCCTGCCGTCTGCCTCTTGGCACTCCAGTCCTTTCCTAAAGCAGCCCTAATTCATGGGATGGGACTTCAGAGCAGCTTGGCCAACAATGGTGTCAATCCTGGGTGAGCCGTAAAGTGTCTTGGGATCTCACTGTGGCTTGGGGTGGTGGCAGTGGGGAGATGGGGAGAAGAGAAGACAGGGCACTCCACGAAGTTTCCTAGCCAGGAGAGTGGGCTGACTCCCAGGAGCAGCTGGGCCTCTGTAGCTTTCGATCACTCTGGAAAAGCCTGCGTTCACTGTAAGGCCCCTGATTCTCAGAGGCATCCGGTCCTCCGCAGTAGGAGCAGCTTTTTCCTGGGTCACAGCCCCATCCTCAGCTCCCCACAGCTCGCTGCACAAAGACACTGTCAAGCTGCGGGGCAAATAGGAGGCTGGCGTGGAAAATCAGGTTCGAGGAGAGGCTGCCAGAGGCCCACCCTCAAGATCTCCGCAGTGGATGGTGCGCAAGATGGCAGGAGCCCCAGTGCAGCAAAGGCTGCAGATTCGACAATCTCCAGGGATTCTGCCAGAGACAAAATCAGAGTGTTGGTCTTAAGATCAAAGAACTGTAAAGGCAGGAGCTAGGAGGTGCAATGAGTAGAAATGTCCTCCCGACAGCATCCCATACAATCCACTGGGGCAGACAGCTCTTGTTTGACAGAGGAGAGGATGGTGGGTCCCTCTGGCTTTAGAGTCAGAGGCGCATCTCCGCAGAGTGAGCGAGTGAGGGAGGCTGGCGTGGAGAAAGGATCGGGACATTCAGCGGATTGTGGAAGAACCAGGGGAGGGTTCTGGAGCCCCCCAGGTGGCAATGGGGATGGTGAAGAGAGGCCAGTAGCTTGGAGATTTGCTGCGAGGAGATGAGAGTCTACTAGGGGGAAGCGAGGTTGGATTTGAGCAGGACAGGAGAAGTAGGGGTCAAGGATGCTGTGTAGGTTCCTGACGGGACAATGAGGGGGTGGTTGTGCCTGTTGCTGAGAGGAGGAGGAGGAGGAAGAGGAGGAATGGAGGCAGATGAAGAGTGCAGTCTGGGCCATGCATGATTGTGGATGCCCTTTCTCTGGCATGGAGAGCAAGTTCTCCAAGCTTGGTCAGCACTTGGGTGAACTCAACCTTTCTCTTTATTCACTGCTGGACGACAAGAAGCCATGCAGCCAGCATGCTTTGTGACATAAATCATTCACCAGTTAATTCATCATCCATTTCTGTGTTTATGCCACCACCCTGTTCCTTGTCGGCACTGTGCTGTGTCTGGCAGCGAGTTAATCCCTGCCTCTATGAAGCTTGCTGTCTATTTGGGGAGACAGATAATCACACCGTCCCAGTGTCCCCAGTGTGGTTCTCTGTAAAAGGTGACAAATGTGAGGAAGGAGGAGGCACGTGAGACTGCCTCTCTGAGAGAGTCCCACAACTGTGCACCCCCTTGAATGTGTTGTAACGCCCAGAACAACATGCGTAGACATGAATAAACCCAAGTTTTAGACAGAAGAAAATGAGCCTAAGGGTCAGAGAGCCGTGTACCCCTAATAATTAGGAGCCGGCCTCAGCGCAGGCTCACAGAGAGGAGAGAATGTCCACGAAAGCGTCTCCTAACCTCTGGGCTATTGTTACCACCATTAACACAAATGGGGACGGACTTCTGCACAACCTCAGCAGCAGCCCACACTGCTTTTCCTGTAAGGCAGATGCCCATCCAGGTATCCTGAACTCCTGAGAGACTTCCCAGGTGTTTTGTGAGATAAGGCACAGGCAGATACTAAAGGACAGCTCGGCCTCCCTGCTTTGATCTCCTGGCAGGGAGCAGTGTCATTTATACTGTTTCAGAGTCCTGCCCATTCATCTGGGTCCCAGATTCCAAATGAATCACCTTTTATTTCAGAATCACAATACAGACACTGGGAGAGAAGAGGCACCAGGAGCAGCATCTGTTACCATAACTGTTGCCTCACCATTAAACTCACCCTGAGGAACTGTCATCTCTGCACGAAGCCTGAGTCCCCCAAGAAGAAGCGCTTACCTGCACCTTCCAGAAAAGGAAGGACAACGTGTTTGAAACGCAGTGGGTTCTCCAAGTGTCTCAGTCAGCTCACACCGCTGTAACAGAATAGCATAGATCGGATGGCTTACAAACAATAGGTATTTCTTTCTCACAGTTCTGGAGGCTGGAAGTCCAAGACCAAGGTGCTTCTGGCAGATGCCGTGTCTGGCGAGGGCTGCTTCCACGTTCACAGATGGTACCTTGCTGTGTCCTCACATGGGCCTTGGGTCCCCTGAGCCCTCATAGGCTCCCTTGGGCCTCTTTTATAAGGGCACAAATCTCACTCATGAGGCACTAATCTCACCCCTTTAAATGAATTAGTGGGGTGGGTTCTACCTTGTCCCCTAATGAAAGCTTGAGTAGACACCATAGATTCTTCTAGTCAAAAGAAGAATCGTTAAGTTAAAAAAGACAGACCCAATTCAGTAATTAAGATGTTCCATTCCTCTGTAATAATCAAAGCTTTGAACTCCCTATATAAATCTGTGGCAGTCAGAAGTCCTGTGGTTGAAGAGGAGAGGGAGCAGCTGGTTTGTCCTCTCTTCACCTCCTAGTCATGCTCCTCCTCCTCCTCCTCCACCTCCCTCATCATGGGCTTGCATCCTTCCAGGTAGAAGCAGAAGGGATGGAAGAGCAGGAAAGTCCTTCTGTGACTGGTCCTATTGTGGTGGGTTAGCTTTGGCCTTCTCTAGATTTGACAGTTGTTCAAAGTTGCTTCTTGTTCTTATGGTGGCTTCTGTGGCTCCTTGGTGACCCATCCCCCATGAAAATTGCTCATGCCAAGATGGAGTCCCTTACGTCAGATCCAAGCAAAGTAGAGCTGGGAGGTCATGAATGAAGGGGTCCCATGCTCATATGTCTGAGATAAGAACTATCACAAGGACCTTCTACAGACCTACAAGAAGTCCCTGCATGTCCTGCACATCCTACACACATGTCCGTAACAGGGCTATAAAAGAAATTCCTTGGGATTAGGTACAGCACTACAGGTCCTCTCACAAGAACACTTGCTTAGCAATGGTGTCTCCACCAATGAGTTAGCACTAGCTTCTGCAACAAGCCCCTGTGAGCAATGATTTTTGTTTCAAAATTTCTCTTCTTTTCCTTTTAAACATCTTCCGTTACCTCAGCCTCTCCTAATACACCTATGATCCACCATGGCTTGTGTATCCTGAATTGCAATCACCCTGTCACTCCTGAATAAACTTTTTTTGAAAGTCTCTCTATCCATCATTAATTTAGGTTGATACCCCCAACACACACACACGCACACACACACACACACACACACACGCACACTTATCATGAAGAAATGAGGAAGGACACTCTTATCTGCCCTCCTGTCTGTGAGCATGGGATGTAACTGTTGAACGGGTTGCTTGTTATACTTCCTCTGGCCCTAACCAATCATGGTACTCCCAATCTTCCCAGAAGACTCTCTTACATAGGATCTAATACATTGGTTCTTTCCTTTGCAAAGCCTATGTCTGCTCCATGAGGATACATTCATTCATCTTTGGTTCAGCAAACTCTGGAGTGCAGTTACTCCCCAAACTGTAACTCTCTCCTCTGATACCCTCAGCTGCTTCACTCAGCCTCTCACGCTTTGGATTTCTCAGGCATGACTTAATCACCAGAACACCATGTTACCCAAACTGTAGGTGGCATATTTTAAGCCCTCCAGGTAATCTCCTTAAAGCCCTTCTCTCTCTTGACTTGGGGTAGGAGGTAGCCTTTCCTCATCTCTTTCCCTTTGGTGCGAGTAGAGGGATTCTCTTTATAAAGAAATCTTC